GGTGTTAGATTTGGAGGTAGGTGAGCACTTTGGTGATAGTGACCACAATTCGGTTACGTTTACTTTAGCGATGGAAAGGGATCGGTATATAACGCAGGGCAAGAGTTATAGCTGGGAGAAAGGCAATTATGAGGCGATGAGGCAAGATTTAGGATGCATAGGATGGAGAAGGAAACTGCAGGGGCTGGGCATAATTGAAATGTGGAGCTTGTTCAAGGAACAGCTACTGCGTGTCCTTGAGAAGTCTGTACCTGTCAGGCAGGGAGGAAGTGGTCGAGCGAGGGAACCGTGGTTTACTAAAGAAGTTGAATCTCTTGTCAAGAGGAAGAAGGAGGCTTATGTAGAGATTAGGCGTGAAGGCTCAGTTAGGGCGCTTGAGAGTTACAAGTTAGCCAGGAAGGACCTAAAGAGAGAGCTAAGAAGAGCCAGGAGGGGACATGAGAAGTCTTTAGCAGGTAGGATCAAGGAAAACCCTAAAGCTTTCTATAGGTATGTCAGGAATAAAAGAATGACTAGAGTAAGATTGGGGCCGGTCAAGGACAGTAGTGGGAAGTTGTGCGTGGAGTCCGAAGAGATAGGAGAGGTGCTAAATGAATATTTTTCGTCAGTATTCACACAGGAAAAAGACAATGTAGTCGAGGAGAATACTGAGATACAGTCTATTAGACTAGACGGGATTGAGGTTCATAAGGAGGATCAATTCTGGAAGGTGTGAAAATAGATAATTCCCCTGGGCCGGATGGGATTTATCCTAGGATTCTCTGGGAAGCTAGAGAGGAGATTGCAGAGCCTTTGGCTTTGATCTTTATGTCGTCATTGTCTTCAGGAATAGTGCCAGAAGACTGGAGACTAGCAAATGTTGTCCCCTTGTTCAAGAAGGGGAGTAGAGACAACCCTGGTAATTATAGACCAGTGAGCCTTACTTCGGTTGTGGGTAAAGTGTTGGAAAGGATTATAAGAGATAGGATTTATAATCATCTAGAAAGGAATAATTTGATTAGGGATAGTCAACACGGTTTTGTGAAGGGTAGGTCGTGCCTCACAAACCTTATTGAGTTCTTCGAGAAGGTGACCAAACAGGTGGATGAGGGTAAAGCGGTTGATGTGGTGTATTTGGATTTCAGTAAAGCGTTTGATAAGGTTCCCCATGGTAGGCTATTGCAGAAAATACGGAGGCATGGGATTGAGGGTGATTTAGCGGTTTGGATCAGAAATTGGCTAGCTGTAAGAAGACAGAGGGTGGTGGTTGATGGGAAATGTTCATCCTGGAGTTCAGTTACTAGTGGTGTACCTCAAGGATCTGTTTTGGGGCCACTGCTGTTTGTCATTTTTATAAATGACCTGGATGAGGGCGTAGAAGGATGGGTTAGTAAATTTGCGGATGACACCAAAGTTGGTGGAGTTGTGGATAGTGCGGAAGGATGTCACAGGTTACAGAGGGACATAGATAAGCTGCAGAGCTGGGCTGAGAGGTGGCAAATGGAGTTTAATGCGGAAAAGTGTGAGGTGATTCACTTTGGAAGGAGTAACAGGAATACAGAGTACTGGGCTAATGGTAAGATTCTTGGTAGTGTGGATGAGCAGAAAGATCTCGGTGTCCATGTGCATAGATCACTGAAAGTTGCCACCCAGGTTGATAGCGTTGTTAAGAAGGCGTACAGTATGTTAGGTTTTATTGGTAGAGGGATTCAGTTTCGGAGCCATGAGGTCATGTTGCAGCTGTACAAAACTCTGGTGCGGCCGCACTTGGAGTATTGCGTACAGTTCTGGTCACCGCATTATAGGAAGGATGTGGAAGCATTGGAAAGGGTGCAGAGGAGATTTACCAGGATGTTGCCTGGTATGGAAGGAAGGTCTAATGAGGAAAGGCTGAGGGTCTTGAGGCTGTTTTCGTTAGAGAGAAGAAGGTTAAGAGGTGACTTGATAGAGACATACAAGATGATCAGAGGATTAGATAGGGTGGACAGTGGGAGCCTTTTTCCTCGGATGGTGATGGCTAGCATGAGGGGACATAGCTTTAAATTGAGGGGTGATAGATATAGGACAGATGTCAGAGGTAGGTTCTTTACTCAGAGAGTAGTAAGGGGGTGGAATGCCCTTCCTGCAAAAATAGTAGACTCGCCCACTTTAAGGGCATTTAAATGGTCATTGGATAAACATATGGATGATAATGGAATAGTTTAGGTTAGATGGGCTTCAGATTGGTTTCACAGGTCGGTGCAACATCGAGGGCCGAAGGGCCTGTACTGCGCTGTAATGTTCTACGTTCTATGCACATGAATTGCAAATGCACGTTCTTGTTAGTTGTACAGATCACAAGATCTTGGTGCTCTGATTTAGGATTTACTTACTGACGAGGTAACTGTGGCAAGTCCAAATGTCAAGGCTTAATAAATTTAAATAAGTTAAACCAACAAGTAAGCAACAGAAGTGTATAAATATCAAAATTGCCTGCACTAAACTGCCAAGGCTTCCTTTCTGTCTATAGGGCAGAGTCTGGACACCCCTCTGTCTCAGTAGATCAAGGAATGAAGTTACCCCTGACTTTGGTGGGTAGGGAGTCCTAGATTCAAGGAACACAGTCTCAATATACAATGGACCATTCAGGACTGAGATGAGGGTGATGAGTCTTTGGATTTGTCTCTTGACCCTTCGCAGAGGGCTGTGAAGACTGTCGTTGAGTATGTACATGACAGAGATTGACAGATGTCTGCATATTAAAAACAACAGGGACACAGGAATAGCAAAAGAAAATGGTGAAGTAGAAGATAAGGCATGATCCAATTGGGTAGAATGGCCTCCCACTTCTGCTCATATTTCTTATGTTTTTGTGTCTCTCCTTGTTTTGCTACATTGCAGAAGGAAGCAGAGTAGCAAAGAAAAATAAAAGTAGGGAACATATAGGCAATAGCGATCAGAATTAAACATGCTTTAAGATGGTAGGAGGGAGGGCAGTGACCACAAATAATGGATCAAAGGAAAGTTAACTTGAGGAGCTGAAAATCAGATTTGAAGAACAAACTGGCAAACAATGATACAGAATAGATTATGGGTAATATTTGAAATGGTGTTCCATAGAATACAGGAAAGATAAAAGGAATCAAAGTAAAAATTAGACAGACTCTGCAGATGAATAAAGACAAAATGTATAAAGCCAAAAAATAAGAAGGCAAAGGAGCAAGTACAATCAAATTATCAAGGAATATGAAACAAAAGAGTTTTCTTAGTGATATGCGTGCAAAATAAAGGAAGGCTGTGATAGGAGAGGATCAGTGAAAGATGGAGAGGATAATATCAGAGAGATGGCAGATTTATTAAATCTTTTTTTTATTGCTGTTTACTGGGGAGATTGAACAAGCAGAAATGACATTAAATTACGAAAGAAATGCATTTAAGTAAAATGACTGAATAAACAAAATAAACTGTATGCAAATTGAGCCAACACTGTCACCACATTTAACATCATAGAAATAACATTCCAAGATAATAACTACACCTTAGACAGGCGCACACATTACTCTGCCCATATCTTAATTTTGTAATTGCTGTTGAGTTATTTTTAAAATTATATACAAGAAGAATTTGTAAAGCACATACTTTTTTCTAATAATTTATTACATAAATATGAAACTGAATCAATGGCACTTACTCTGTTGATTTCTCTTGTCACTGGCATTTTTCAGGGGTAGACATACAGGACAGTCATGTCGAGTGCAGTTTTTCCAGTGAGAGATGATCTGCCTTGATGATGCACAGTGAGCAACTGTTTTAAAAAAGACAGATTTCTAATATTAAACCTGTGGAATCAGGGTCAGATGAAATTGAATAGCGAGAACCAAACTGCTTTTAAAATGTTCTCATTTTATGAAACAATGTTAAAAGGTTACTGTGGCCGAGTGGGTCAGCACAAGACAACACAAAGCCATAGTAAATAATATCAGCAGACAATGTCATGCAGGCCTAACTTTTCCAACTGAGGAAAAGTATTTGGTACAGGGAGGCAAAGCATTTTGCTTTTAAAAATGAAGTGATGGGCTATAGGACCACCTTGCAGAAAACTTAATTTTTTCACTCTGCTCAGCAATTGCTCAGAGAAGCTGGCAGGTATGCAAGATGCTCTTCGTTAGAGCATGCATAGCGTAGAGGGGAGAGTTACTCAGCAATACAAACATACAGCCAGAAAGTTACTCAAGCCCTCCTCACCACTTGGAGGTTACTTGCACCAAGGAGCGTGGAGGAGAAGGGGTAAAAAGAGGAAAAAAAAAATATTTTTCAGACAATACACAAACACATATCTTAAAAGAAATGTTAAAACCAATCTTTGCTTCTTCCTGTTGGCCAAGATTTTTTTGGTGGTGTTCACACACGTGTGTAAATTTGGAATCAGCTGCAATGGACACAGTTACAATTACATTTGTTGCATGAATCCATTTGGAATTATACAGAACATGATAGCAGAAAAGATTTGCCATTTGAACCATTTCTGCAGTTGTCAAACATGAGAGCTAGATTAGAACACAAACCGTGAAGGGATATCTGTGAATTCACCAATCCTGTATTGATTGCAAACATATATCAGATCTTATTTTAGAATAAATATTGAGTTTAAAACTAGATTTAAATATTGTTGAGTGGTTCCCCTCCTATTAGTTTTAGTATTTTTAATGTTATCTTTGTAATACAGCTTTAAGTAATATAAAAAGCAAAATCACTAACTTGAATTTTAACATTTGTTGCCTGGAATCACTGAAGTGTTTTCATCATCAGGTTTAAGCATACTGAGGAAACTTTTATGAAATAGGACAGATTTTACAGGCATAATTATCTAATCATTGCCTGTGTTAACAGCATGTGATCATCTTTTTTTCACTACTACCAGCAGAGTCTTGTGCTTGTTTGTGTTGTTACAATTAAACCAAAGGCAGTGTGCGCATATACTCTCAGTAAATGAAACATTCACATTTTCACATATTTACAATGAAATAAAACCACTTAATGCATTGTAACCATAGGCTCAGAAGCATGTCATTTAAACTATCAAACCTATCTCATTATTCAAGCTATGCAATGGCTGATCTGCACATCAATTTCAAATCCCTGATGCCCTTAGATAATAAATATCGATAAATCTCAGTTTTAAATTTCAATGATCCAACATCTACAGTCTGTTGAGAATATCATCTCAGGTTTGTTTTTCTTTTACTTGTGGGACGGGGTCATTACTGACTGGCCAACATTTATTGCCCGCCCCTAGTTGCCCTTGAATCGGTGCTAGTGAGCTGCCACCTTAGTTGAATTCCATGATTCGGACACAGCAACAGTGAAGGAACAGCGATGTATTTCTAAGTCAGGATGATGAGTTGCTTGGAGGAGGGCCTGCAGGTGATGTTCCCTTGTATCTGGTGCCCATGAGTTTGGAAAGTACTGTCTAAGGATTTATGGTGAATTTCCGCAGTGCATCTTGTAGAAAGTATATGCTGCTGCTAATGATTGTCCGTGATGGAGGGAATGGGTGCTCAAAGATGTGGTGCCAATCAAGCAGGTTGCTTTGGCCTCCATGGTGTCAAGCTTCTCGAGTGCTGTTGGAGCTACACCCAACCAGGCAAGTGGGGAGTACTCCATCACAATCCTGACTTGCGCCTCGTGGATGGTGGACAGGCTTTCGGGAGTCAGGAGGTGACTTATTGTTGCAGTATTCCTTGCCTCTTACCTGGTCTTGTTTATGTGCAAGTCCAGTTGAGTTTCTGGTCAATGGTAACTCTCAAGATGTTGCTAGTGCCAATTCAGTGATGGTCACACTATTGAATGTCAAGGGTGGTCATTAGACTGTCTCTTGTTGGAGATAAGCATTTCTTGGCAATTGTGTGGCATGAATGTTACTTGTCACTTGTCAGTCCAAGCCTGGATATTATACAGATCTTGTTGCATTTGAACATGTACTGCTTCAGTATCTCAGGAGTCATGAATGGTGGTGACCATTATGCAGTCATCAATGAACATTCCCATGACAGGGAAGGTCACTGATGAAGCAGCCGAAGATAGCTGGGCCTCGGACCATACCCTGAGGAACTTTTGCAGAGATGCTCTGGAGCTGAGATGGCTGACCTCCTACCACAACCACCTTCCTCTGTATGACTCCATCCAGCAGAGACTTTGCCCCCAAATACCCATTGATGCCAGTTTTAACAAGACTCCTTGAAGTCACACTCAATTAAATGCAGCCTTGATATCAAAGGCTATCATTTTCACCTCACCTCTGGAATTAAGCTCTTTTGTCCATGTTTGAAGCAAGGCTGTAATGAAGTCAGGAGCTGAGTGGCCCTGGCAGAGCTCAAACAGGGCATCACTGAGTAGGTGCTGCTTGATAGCACTATTGATGACACCTTGCATCACTTTACTGATGATCAGGAGGAGACTGATGGGGCAGTAGTAATTGGCCAGGTTGGATTTGCCCTGCTTCTTGTGTACAACACATACCTGGCAAATGCCAGTGTTGTAACTGTAGTGGAAGAGCTTGGCTGGGAGAGCAACAAGTTCTGGAGCACAAGTCTTCGGTACTATCAACGGAATGTTGTCAGGGCCCATAGCCTTTGTGCATCCAGCACTTCCAACCATTTCTTGATATTACGTGGAGTGAATCAAATTGGCTGAAGACCGGCATCTGTAATGCTGGGGACCACTGGAGGAGGCCATGATGGATCATCCACTTGGCAATTCTGGCTGAAGATTGCTGTGAATGCTTCAGCCTTATCTCTGCACTTTTGTGCTGGGCGCTTCCATCTTTGAGGATGGGGATATTTATGGAATCTCCTCCTCCAGTGAGTTGTTTAATTGTCCACCATCATTCATGACTGGATGCAGTAGGACTACAGTTTAGATGTGATCTGTTGGTTGTGGGATCGCTTAGCGGTCTATCACTTGCTTATGCTGTTTGGCACACAAGTCCTGTTTTTCTAGCTTCATCAGGTTGACAACTCATTTTCAGGTATGCCTGGTGCTGCTTCTGGCATGCTCTCCTGCAGTCTCCACTGAACCAGAGTTGATCCCCTGGCATATTGAAAATGGTTGAATGGAGGAGATGCCAGGCCATAAGGTTGCAGATTGTACTGGAGTACAAATCTTCATGGATGTCCAGTCTTGAATTGCTGCTTAAAATCTGTTCCATTTAGCACAGTGACAGTATGTGAAGGTGGGACTTTGTCTCCACAAGGACTATGCAGTGATCACTCTTACCAATGTTGTCACGGACAGACCCGTCTGCAGCCAGCAGAGTGGTAAGAATAAGGTGAAATATGTTTTTTTCCCTGGTTGGATCCTCTGCCATCTGCCGCAGACCCAGTCTAGCAGCTATGTCCTTTAAAATCCAACCAGCTCGATCAGTAGTGCTGCTGGCAAGCCATTCTTGGTGGTTGACATTGAAATCCCCCACCCAGAGTACATTGTGTGCTCTTGCCACCCTCAGTGCTTGCTCCAAGTGTTGCTCAACATGGTGGGGGTGGAGGTGGTGGTGGTATGGATTCATCTGCCAAGAGAGGACGGTATATGGTAATCAGCAGGAGGTTCCCTTGTTCATGTTTAACCTGAAGCCATGACAGTTCATGGGGTCCGGAGTCAATGTTGAAGACTCTCAGGGCAACACCCGACTGTATATAACTTGTTTCCAAGATAGTAGGAACTGCAGATGCTGGAGAATCTGAGATAACAAGGTGTAGAGCTGGATGAACACAGCAGGCCAAGCAGCATCAGAGGAGCAGGAAGGCTGACGTTTCGGGCCTAGACTTGTGCTGCCATCTCTGCTGGGTCTGTCCTGTCAGTGTGACATACATATCCAAGGATGGTGATCGTATCGTCTGGGATATTATCTGTACAGCCTGATTCCATGAGTGTGACTATGTCAGAGTGTTGTTTGAAGAGTCTGTGAAACAGCTCTCCCAACTTTGGCACTAGCCCTCAGAAGTTAGTAAGGACTTTGCAGGGTCGACAGGGCTGTTTGTGCCGTCGTCTTTTCTAGTGCTTAGGTTAATGCCAGGTGGTCTGTCCAGATGGTCTCAACTCTTTGCTGAGACTTTGTAGTGACTACTCCAACTGACTGGCTTGCGAGGCCATTTCAGAGGACACTTAACAAGTCAACCACATTGCTGCGCTCACCACAGTGTAAGATAATGAATCCACCCCAATTTCGCTCTTGCATAATCCAGTGCTCATTTTAAGTCTCTCCGCTCTTATTCAGCATTCTCCTAAAAAGAATAAAACCACACTATACCTGCAAAATCAAGTATCAATTATTTTAAATATCTTGATTAGCTGTTTCCTAAACCATCCAACAGCTGAACACAACTGTGAGATGGACACCTTACAGTCTGTGCTTGATGCTCTCTTGCAGTTTCCTGCCATGGGTGAGGTGGATGAAGAATTCTCATCCCTTGAATTCAAGAAGGCAGCAGACTAATAATGGAAAGGCACCTGGCTGGGATAGAATTGGAATTGAATTCTTCAAGCACTGAAGTCCCATTTATTGTCACTTGTTTATGGCCATCTCCTCCTTTGCTGAAAGTAAGCTCTCTTGCATAGGCGATGCTTGATTCAAAGATCATTGCACAATACAGAAAACAAAGGCAACAGAGGAGACTCAAACAACCACTCCTTAACGCACTGGGAAAGCCTTTGCTAAAGTCATACTTAAAAGCTCCATCTACTTGCAATCTGTGCGGTTTCTCGGCTGGCAGATCTACTGTGGAAATGAGCTTCTCTATATGCCAACAAGAACAGAATACATTTCTTTATTTTACTTTCTTAGATCTCTCAAAGGAATTTGATACCATCAGAGATGGTATCACTCTTCAAGATTACAGAGAAAGTTGGGTCTCCACCAAAGCTTCTCAGTCTTAGGTATACAGAGCCCTAATCCACTGTTGTATGAGCAAAAGACAATTTGTAAGTCATCATCACATTACTCAAACTTCTTGTATACATATATACGAAGAAGTTCATGAATGTAATATTTTCTTCCCTCCTGGCTGTTTAAGCACAATTCAAATCATATTTATGGATTTTTTTTTTTTACAAGGAATCTGTTACTACATGATGGGCTATTTCAGAACTGACCCAGTACAAACATATTTAATTTTGTTGAAGTCATTCAGATAGTAGGATCAAATTATAATTCATGCACAAATATATTAATTAAGGCAAAGAACTGATTGTGAAGTGTTCACCTTTACAACTGGCTTACTTTCCTTCAGTTCTTTAGTACAGGTACTCACGGTGTAGAAAAATTGCTTTAGGTTTTTGGACTATTAACACTCAATCTTACTATGGTTGTCAAATTGAAATATTCTGAATAAATCACTTGAACACCCATTCAGGAAAAACATAGCTTCTATTTACATTGCATCTTTAACTTAATAAAATGCCCAAGGCACTTTAGAAGAACATTTAAAGCAAAATAGAATACGTAAACACGTGAGGAAATATTAGGTCAGATGACCAATAGCTTGATCAAAATTTAAGTTTTAAGGAATGTCTTAAAGGAGGAATTTGAGGTGGAGAGATAAAGGGAAGGTATTTTCGTATTTGGAGCCCACAACTCCAAAGCTGACACAATTAGAAGCAGGAATGTACAGGAGGTCGGAACCAGAGGAGCCGGGATATTCAGAGGGGTGTGGAGATGGAAGGGATTACTAAAGGGAGCACAAGTTCATGCAGGAATTTTTACATTAAGGATGCAAAATTTAGAGCTAAAAAGGTTTTCTAGCTCTGAGCCAACATAGATCAGTGAGCACACAGTGTTAGGGGAATGGGACTTGCTGGAAGCTGAGATGTGGACAGCAGAATTTTGGGTTACCTCAACTTTATGTAGTGTAGAATGAGGGAATTTCTGGTTGCACATCAGTCCTAGTCTAATGGTGCTGTTTGTGGACGGGTGTTGGACACAGGGGCCTTCTTGTGGGCCAGCCTGGGCCTGGTCATCAACAGGTCCAGGCAGCAGGCTGTGAGGGGGGGGTCACGGTACCCTGTCTGTACCTCTTTCATAGATTTGCCTGTGCTCAATGTCCACTGAGAGGGAGCATGAAGTGCCCACTGCCACAGTAGAGGCCTTTAGAGATTGGTGGGTACAACATCATCACCCTGGATAATGATATTTTCATAAGATTCCATTCCAGTACTGTAAGTTTCCGTTGACTAATTGTTTTTGCTACAGTGCCCCCACACTGGTTTAACTTGATTAATGTTTTGTTCGAAAAAGTAGAGTTCAAACAGCCAGGTAAGCATTGCAACAGATAGTCTATAGTAATAAAACAGCACTTTACCAGCAGGCTGTATGTGAAAAAGGTGAAGCTGGGCAATGTTATAGAGGTGGAAATAGGTGGTTTTAATGATGGCATAAATAAGGTCAGAAGTTAAACTTGAGAACAAAATGTTTTAGGATTAGATTTTGAACAGACAGGCTTATTCTCAGACTACTTTTAGGGAGAATTGTAGAGATTACAATTGGAGAATGACATCTGGAGCAGGTTCCAACCTTTGGCATTCTCAATATTCAATGAGAAGAAATTTTTGCTCATCCAGCATCAGGATGTCAGATAAGCAGTTTGATAATGCAGTAACAGTGGTGGTGAGGTAAAGGCGAATGTTTGCCCACATATGTATGAGAACTAACACCCTTTTTTTGGATAATGTTGCTGAGGGGTTACATGAGAAATGGGAAGCAATCAATTATAGATCCTTGATGGGCAGTCACAAGTAGTAATGGTCAGGGAGCAGGAATAGAAACTATTGCAAGTGGTTTTCTGGCTACTATTGAAAGAATAGAAGCAGGTTAGGGCAATTCTACCCAACTGGACAAAACCCGAGAAGCAGCAGAAGAGGACAGTATGGTCAGTGATATGAAAAAGAGTGCAGATCGATTAAGAACAATGAACAGGGCAAGTTACCTTGGTCAGTGTTACACAGGATATCATTTCTAACACTGATAAGAGACCTGCTTTGGTACTATTCTCAGAAACCATGGAATTTCAACAGCAATCGGGTATGAATAGCAACAGAAATGGTACCAAATAAGTAATCAAATACTAAAACTTGATTTTCATGCTCACAAATATGTAACTAAAATGAATTTCTGTTCAGCATATGTCACCTCAAATTAGCAATGTAGGAAGAAAGTTCACTATTGGAAACCAACCTGCATGGTTAGTCAGAAAGAGAGAATTGTCCTTCACAGCCACCTGCAGGGGTTCAAATAAAATTTAAAGTACTATACACATCTTTCAGACAAACACTAATCCGCTCCATTACATCCACTGAGACAAAAAACTGGGTTTTTGCAAAAGTGCTCTTCAGGATATAGGTTTGTCGCATCATCAACATCATACTTCTGTGTAAAAAAATGTTCAGAAAGCATTTAAAACCAAATGTCTATTACCACAGTCAGAACAGATTTTGGTTAAAGGATATTTTGGTTAACTTCAAGAGGACTGCATTTGAACCCCTGGCCACCTGGCTCGTTAAAAGCATGTAGGTGGTGCACAAACTAATCAAGTACACTTACCCTGGCAGGACTTGCCTGCCTGACAGTGAGTCATGTGATTCAGGACGTTTTTCATGGTTCGGCAGTGGGGCAGCGCACAAGGTCGCACCTCACCGTTTGCCTGTTCTCGTCGCTGACACTTGTGGGCATGAAGCAGTAGGACCAGCTGCTGCTGAATCAGTTTGCGCTTCTCAGGATCTGCAGTCGGTGCAGATCCCATTCCTTGCGTCGGTACCTGGGATGGTACTTGTACCATCCCAACCTGTTGAACCTGGGACTGCTGCTGTGACTTGAAAAGAAACAAACAAATGAAAGAGGGCTTAATATCCAGAGACAATTTCTAAACAAGAGGAGGAAACAAAAATAAAAGATCTTCTAAACAAAATTGAACACAGAGCAAAAACAGACAACACTGCTGCATTGGCAAGATGATTCCATCATAAAATTTCTCTCAAGGATTGAACATTTTTCTTTCAGGCAAGTATATCATTATGACGCTTTTTTTTTTCCAAACAAGTCAAAATTGTCAATTAAAACTAAGTAAAGTTATTTTCATCCAAGCAAGTTTATTTCAAGAAAGGGGGAAGAAAATGAAGTGCAGATAAAAATACGACACCAACTTTAACTCTGATCCCTACGACTGTTTCCAATGCTGGCAGCTAAGCTGGAAGGACATACAAGTTACTATACAGCTGAAAGATGTTCCAAAACTTTTCTCTCCATCAACCGTGTGAATTACTAATCTTAAAAGAGTCTAACATTTTCAACATGCAATGAGTTATCAGGTTTTATATACTAGTTAAAACATTACTTAAATTCTAAAGACCTTTCTTTCCATAAAGACATTTCAATTTCCTCAACCAGCATATTTGGAACATACAGCTCACTTACCATGTTTGGCACATTTGTAACTTGAGTGCCTTTTAAATCAGTTGGAAAAGGAGGCAGGCTATTGGAAAGATTGGTTTTGTTTTGTAATTGAGGTCCAACCCCTGCAGTGCCTAATTGCTGCCCACTAGCTTGGCCATAGCTTTGTCCAAATAGGCTTGTATTACCTGAAATCCCCATCTGGAAAGAAAGAAAGGAAATCTAATTATTCCAGTCATACATACATGCCTGAAATAATAAAAATTTTTTACCAAAAACTGGAATCCTTTCGAAACAAAAACAGAATCCCAAAACTGATAACATGGCCTGTTTACTATGGATGAATTGTGACTATGTGAAAGAAACACCAAGAAATTTGCAAGCAATGTAATTTTTCTTCACAATTATTTTCTCCTCTCAAAATGCTGTTCTATGTATAGTACAGATATATACAGTTCGCATAGTTCTATAGGCTGCTTTGGCACTTGTCAAAGTGCCGTTTTGCAGACAATTAATTATTATTTGAACACAGGTGACATCACAACCAAGCCCAAGCCCAAGTTTGTGTGCATCAAATGTACACATGGTAGTGCTTTCTAGAAGGAAAGCTGACTGAATTTTCTTTGCCTCCTGAGCCCTTGTAAACCTCTTGCCACATTGTAGAGGTAGTTGATCTTGACCAGAACAGCTGAAGAACCAAGAATCCTCTGTTATGTCTACACCCACCTAACACAACAAAAAACAGAGATCGCCAATGCATTGGAAGGTCTACATTATGGCTTTGTTTCAAGCTCCAAATGTTTTCTTGGCATGTGAAACATTAAACATTACATCTCAGCACAGACACAAAATGTTGTGTTTGAGAGAGTATAAAGGAATGAGTCAAAAATTAATTTCAAAAGCTAAAAACCATTCTCTGCTGCATGTTAAGATAATCTCAACTTTTGAATCAGCAGAAATTAATTTTCTAACAAAAATATTACGAAAGGACATGCTATCACAATTGAATTTGATCAGTTCAGCTGGAAAACCAGTGTAGGGGGAATAATTAAGGGTCTTGTTGCTGATCTTTATCCAGTAATCTGTGCTGGACAAGCAAGAAAATAGCACAGGATTGTGCTCAACTATAATACTGATAACAGTTTGACAGATTACCAACATTCATTGCCAAGAACGGGGTGGTAATGGTCTTGTGGTATTATCGCTAGGCTAGTAATCCAGAGATCTAAGTAAATTCTGGACACTGAAACTCGAATCTTACCATGGTAGATGGTGAAATTTAAATTCAATAAAAATATGGAATTAAAAACCAGATTGTCATATGTCATAAAAACCCATCTGCTTCACAAATGTTTTTTTTCGGGGAAGAAACTGCTGGTCCAGCAAGCCATTCAGTTATAATAACTGCTATAAAGTCTCAAAGAAGGTACGTGTACATCTGTGGATGCATTTTTTTTTTGCAGGGTGGGTGCTAGTGCCAGAACTGGGAAAGCTGTCTTACAGGCTAGTCAAACAACTGTCAGATATGATCACAGACACAGGAATCATAACTTGCAAACAATGTCACAGGCATTCCATTGGCAGGTCACCCCCGACAGAGGTGGCAGCAGACTGGCATACATTCAGGAAGAAGTTGTCCGAGGAGTCTTCAACATTGATGCTGAACCTTATGAAGTTTCATGGCACTGGGTCAATCATGAACAAGGACATTTCCTTCTAATTACCATGTATACACCTCCCTTTTCCCTTCCTACCTGTATGTTAGTGTACAAGAACATGCATCCTTGAAGGAGTCAGCAGAGGTAAATTAGATGCTTGCCTTCATTAGCTGGGAAGTAGAATTTAGGAGCAAGGAAGTCGAGTTATAACTTTATAAACAATTGGATTGAATACTATCTGCAGTTCTGGTCATCAAACTATCAGAAGGACGATAGTTTTGAGGAAGGGTCACCGGATCCGAAACGTTACCTCTGTTTTCTCCTTCACAGGTGCTGCCAGACCTGCTGAGCTTTTCCAGCAACTTTGTTTTTTGTTCCTGATTTACAGCATCCGCAGTTCTTTTGTTTTTTTATCAGAAGGACGAGACTGCACTGGACACGGTGCAGAGGTGATTCACCAAGATGCTGCGTGGGATAGAAATGCTCAGTTGTGAGGAAAGATTGGACAATGTGGCGAATTTGGGTAGTATTTGAGGATTGGAAGGCAGGATGTTAGAATATTTGGGGTGGGGGGGGGAGAAGGGTGCATGATCCCTTTAAAAGATGGTATTTTTTTCTAGGTTTGAAGATTTAAAAAGAACAAGTGCAGAGAGCTCCTGAAATTGAAACATTGTATCAAAGGCTATGTGGTTAACAAACCAGGCAGTGGTTTGTTTCGTTGTTAAGGAAACCAGTTTGAAGATCAGACAATTAATTTAAACTATGCACTTAGAAACTAAAAACTAATTAGACTTAAATCTGATAGTTTTGACAACCTAGGACCAATCCTTTGGTTAGAATTTAATAGGTCACCAAGGATATAAAAGAGGGCATTTGAAAATTGGTGCGAGAACAACTGCCATCTGTTAGAAATGAAAAATCAGCAGCTCTAAAGAGAAAATCACTGGCTCTCAGTATTCTCCAAGCTCTCAGGGTAACCATCATTTAAATAAAGATACAGTGGTACTCTTAGCTAAAATTCCTCACATGAGAATTTGACGAAGAGGGGCGTTCCTGAGGATCAGCAGAGACTGCATGGAGCATTTCCGAAAACGTATCTGGCTGTAATTTCAAGAGATTCAAGTTTTAATTTATTTTCTTCTTATTTTGGTTTATTTAAGTGGGACTTATATTTATTGAAACTGCATACCATTAGAATTTTGTTTTATATGGGAATTGTTAGTAAAGGAGGAATTGTTCAGTTTAATAGTAGTTCTATTAATTTGTTCGCTGTTGGATAACTAAATTGCTACTGGGGGAGGGGGGTGGTGGTGGTGGTGACAGGCAAGTTATACCACTTTTCACACTTCCTTTAACAGATTATGAGGTGAGCTTCTTTGGGTGTTTCAGGTTTAGTTATTAGAGGGGGGTCAACCTCTGCTTCGTAACAATAGGCTGGCTTTGTTTTTCTTACAGCAGAGAAGGATGAGAGGGCTCTGATTGAGAGGCACAGATAGAGTAGATCGTGAGAATCTTTTCTCTGTGGTAGACATGTCTATGACCAGAGGTCATAAGTTTAAGATGAACAGTTAGTGGTTTAGAAGAGATCTGACAAAAAAGGTTTTCACCCAGGTGACCAAAATATGGAATGTGTTGCCTGAGAGGGTGGAGGAGACAGGTACTCTTGCAACATTTAAGCAGCATCAGGATAAGCACTAAAAAATGCCAGGGCATTGAAGGCCATGGACCAAGTACAAGTAAGTGGAATTAATGTAGTCTGGTGCCTGTTGGTCAGCACAGGATGGTGGGCTCAAGTTCCTGTTTCTATGCTGCATGACTGCATGACTATGACTTCCTGCTCACCAATCTGCCTATCACAGATGCACCTGTCCATGACAATACTAGTAAAAGTGACTGTGCACAGTCCTTGTCAAAGCAGAGTCAGTCTTCACATTGAGAATATCCTCCATCATTTATGCATCATGCTGCGTCATATTATGCAACCATTACCATGTTAAATGAGATAGACGTCAAACAGATCTAGCAATTTGAAAATGGGCATTTGAACGGCATTCTGTCGGTCATCAACAGCAGCAGAATTGTACTCCACAAACTGAAACTTAATGGCCCAACATATTCACTCACTCTATCATTATAAGTAAGTCAAAGGATAAGATCTGGTTTAATGAACAGCGCAGATAGGCATATCAGGAGCAGAACCAGACATATCTAAAAATGAGGCGTCAATCTGGAAAAGTTAGAAAACAGGACAAGAATGACAAGTAGAGTAAGCAGAAAGTGACAGAGCTAAGTGGTTCCACAAACAATGGATCGATCAAAGCTCTGTTGACCTTCCACATGTATGGTGGTGGACAACTAAACGACTCACCGGAGGAACAGATGTCACAATTATCTCCATCCTCAATAATGGAGAATCCAGCATATCAGGGCAAAAGATAAGGCTGAAGTTTTTGCAACAATCTTGCCAAGTGGATGATCCATCCATCATTGCCTCCTCCAAAGATCCCCAGCATCAAAGATGACAGTCTTCAGTCATTTTGATTCACTTCAGGTGATATCAAGAAATCAGTGGGGGCACTGGATACTACAAAGGCAATGGGCCCTGACAACATTCCATCAATAATACTGAGGGCCCTAGAACTTGCTATGTTTCTAGCCAAGGTGTTCCAGTGCACTTCCAGCACTGGCAATGAACCGATAAGGTGAAAGGTCGCTCAGATTTGCCCTGTACATTTTAAAAAAAGGACGTCAAATGCAGCCTGGCCAATTACCACCTCAGTCTTCCCTTGATCATTAACAGCATAGAAACAGATCCTTCGGTCCAACTCGTCCATGCCAACCAGATATCCTATTTAAATCTACTCCCATTTGCCAGCATTTGGCCCATATCCCTCTAAACCTTCCTATTCATACGCCCATCCAGATGCCTTTTAAATGTTGGAACCTTACCACACTCTGCCACTTCTTCTGACAGTTCATTCCATAAATGCACCACCCTCTATGGGAAAAAGTTGCTCCTTAGGTCTCTTTGAAATCTTTCCTCTCTCACCTTAAACCTATTCCCTCTAGTTTTGAACTCCCCCACCCTGGGGAAAAGACCTTGGCTATCTACTCTATCCGTGCCCCTCATGATTTTATAAAGCTCTATAAAAGGTCACCCCTCAGCCTCTGATGCTCCAGGGAAAACAGCCACAGCTTATTCAGCCTCTCCCTATAGCTCAAACTCTAACCCTGGCAACATCCCTGTAAATCATTTCTGAACCCTTTAGTTTCACAACATCCTTCCTACAGCAGGGAGACCAGGATTGTAAGCAATACTCTAAAAGTGGCCGAACCAATGCCCTGTACAGCCGCAACATGGCCTCCCAACTCAGTGACTCAGTGCACTGACCAGTAAAGGCAAGCATATTAAACGCCTTCTTCACTATTCTGTCTACCTGCAACTCCGCTTTCAAGGAACCATGAACCTGCACTCCAAGGTCTCTTTGTTTAGCAACTTCCCAGGACCTTATCATTAAGGGTATAAGTCCTGCCTTGATTTGC